AAAAAAAAAAAAAAAAAAAAAAAAAAAAAAAAAAAAAAAAAAAAAAAAAAACCTTAAAACTTTTTTTTGGTCTGTAACGTATCTTCGCCATTGTTAACCTCAGGTTTTTAAATGCATCTAGTAGTAAGCGGTTTCTACATTCTTATAAGAAATGTTTCGTTTCACCCTCCAATTGAAACTGGCGAATGGGTTGCAATGAAAAGGTCTTTACAGTGTAAAACGAACTTTACTTTAATTTTCTAATTAACAGGATTTCATCGAGTAGCTAAGAGTGTAGAAATTGCTAAAGATGTTAGCAAATGAATTCCCATGAGTTTGAACACACGTTTCTTGAAATTTTGATTTATAAATTAAATTATTTTTGTTAAATTTCTTAAATTAATAAAAATATCCAAAAACTTAGTATATCTTAAAAAATATCCCGGCATATTTAATGTTTTTTTAGTTGGAGGGTATTAATGAAAATTTTAAAAGTTTTTGGATTTTTAGGACAAAATATTTAAGGTATTTTTATTAACTATTTAATAAATAATGATATTCCAATCAATCAGCACCAGTGGTCTAGTGGTAGAATAGTACCCTGCCACGGTACAGACCCGGGTTCGATTCCCGGCTGGTGCATAAGTGGCTTAGCGATGAAGAATTTAGCGTTAACTGTGATCTGGGTCGATCACAACCGTCTGATCATTCTGATGAGTTCAGCAGCGCAATCAGAGCTTGCCCTTTTAATTTTTATTATTCCATTATTTTTTTTAGTTAAATCATTTTGGAGTCTGAATCATCTACTTTCACATTATATTAATATTATAATATTTTACACTACTTTTCTTCCCATCAACACTCTTAACATTGTTCTGCATACTGTTATTCCTTATTGTCTCTTATTAGCGATATAGTTTGTGGTCGTCGTTCAATATTACTCACGTTTTTTCTGTATGTTTAATCCATTTATAACCTTCTTTCCCTTGATTTCATTTTTTGTTCATCAATGGCTCGATATCTTGCATGTGTCATTCACAACTGTGAAACGACTTAACTTTCTCTGCACATACCGGTCAGAGACGCTCAACTAGTAAACGACCTTGAAATCATACCCAAACACATGCAACTTGCTTGCTTTCTCATGTGAAAGTTGAAAGAATGAGGCGCAAATCCTTGTGGCTGGGCCTCACCTGGCTTGAGATTTGCAGTTCCCAGTCAATAAAAGACACCATTCTGTGCTATTTCACAGGACAGTTTGCAGCTTACAGCTACGTACAACCCAAATAGTGACATCCCCGTCCTCATATTTTGTTTCTTTTTTATCCTTAAATTATTACAAGCACGAGCACGAGCACGACTATTCATAAGCACCGTACAAAAGTTAACGATAAGTAAGTTCTCTATCAGCCTCTAACCATTGACTCGTAAAAGACGTTACTAATTCTTAAGACTACGATGGCAACATATCGACTTTCTCGAAGTATAAAGGCATTTTGGAACCTTTTGACTCAGTTTAGTAAATTCCAAATCTAGTTAAAGATGACAATTACTTCCCCTTTGACTCATCTTTACTGACTCAAAGAGTGTGACGCATGGTGGGGGTGAAAAAAAGGTACTTAGTCCACCATTTAATGACCTCTCCATGAATGCTCTCTTTGAATTCAGCATTCTAATCTTTAGACTAAAGACTTCAAAACCCAACAAAATAACCCTTTCTCTCTGTCTCTCTCTTCCCCGTTGGAAATGGAAGATCCCTCCGTTTCACCCAATACTAATTTGGTAACAGTTCCACCCACCCATATCTAGCAGCCAAATCAGAACAGGGGGAGAGATAAAGTAACGGAATCTAACCCCCAATCCACCCCTTCGAGGCCCAGCATCCTTGCTAGTACACTACTTCATGTTCACCTCCCTTCCGAGCTCAGCGGGCAGGCACATCACCGGCTCATTTGTCTTCGCCACTACGAACAAGCTGCAGCAAATCACATTAAACAAGTGCTACCATAAACACTAATAAACTAATGGTGGGCATAAGATTCCCCTCTCATTCATCATCATAAAGCTTTTCCACTAACACAACGTCAGAAGCAGCAAATGGTTTCACACATCAGAGAGGCGCAAAGGGTTAGTATTTTATTCCACAGGTTGTTGATTTGTAGTTCCATCAGTACAAAGTGGGGAAGAAAAAAGAGAGAAAAAAAAATCCTAAGTAAATTATCTGTACCACAGAGTTTCCTAGTTGCCTGAACTAACTAAACTACTAGACCCTCTTTTCCTTCCCCTCTCACTAACATGGCTTGATAGACAATGAACTTTGATGGGTATTTAGTGTCAAACTCATAACCTCTGTTATGTTCTTTCGGGGGTTCCTTTTCTTTCTTCTTTTTTGGGTTTTGAGAGGTCTTACTACTCCTTTACAAGTTAATAAGGATAATGGAAAAAGGAAATACCACCATCATCCCTTAAGGTTAGACTAATTCCTCCTCCTACGTCGAAAATCTAAGCCCGGGATCTGTCGAAAATAAGCAGACACGAAGTCCTGATGGAACGACTTGCTATAATCTTCTATGGTTGCAACTTTTCCCATTCGTAGCAGCCTGGAAGTGGCATATCTTTCACGGGATCGAAGTTGTACCTGCAAATATCATACCATCGAGACGGTTACTTGCACGAACGATAACGGGTTATTTTTGAGTTATGGAAGAAGTGTAAACATGTTCACATACTTCTCAATGAAGTAACGTTGCTGCTTTTCTTCAGCAAGAGCAAAAAACTCGTCCATTTCATTTGCTGTTGGCATGTGTCGATTCGATGAGTAACGATTTCTATGGTTAGTTTCGATTGCGCTCGATGTTGGCCTGATAGTCGAACTGGGTGTTCGGATGGTGTCGGGATTCCTTATCAAACTAGAGGGTGTTGATTCCCTAGTACTCCTGGTACAATCAAAGGCATCACCCGTTAAAGAAGAACAAGACAGAGTAAAACGCCTTTTCAAAATTCCTCCCCTCCAGAACGAGACAAATAGAAGAAATTAACGAGCAAATACATCAAACGGGTGAAAAAGCAGAGTATACAAAAGAACAAACACATGATATACAAAGAAGAAAATGATAGCCCTGAATTACCCAGAACAATGTTCTTAAGAAAATGTTAAAAAAAAACACTAAAAAACCATCTGCATAGTGAAAAAAATCAACTGAATAGCTTAATGTCATTCATAATTCCAAGATACTAAGTGTATGAAAGGAAAAAACACAGAAAATTCAACACAGAGTACAAAACAGAGAGAAGAATCTCACCTGTCTCTACTTTCATAATCCAAAAAATTTTCCCCAAACGAGGCCTCTTCGATACCCAAATCAACAATCTCATTCTTGCTCCCACTCGCAAGAATTTCAGCAATTTTCGCAACGGATTTCTCTGCCTCCTCCGCCGTATGATCTCCTTCATCATTAACACGGCCAAGCGTGACAGACCTTTCCGGCATGGCCGGCCTCAAACTAGAACTCACCCTAGGGCTAGGGCTTCTCGTGCAGCCGTCTTCTTTAGGGTTTTGCTTCTGCCTCTTAGATTCATAGCCGGAAAACACAAGCCGCCGGCTCCGAAGCTGGAGATAAGAACCAGAGGCAACCGAAGACGACAGAGACGGGGACGGCGTCGGAGATTGCTGGAGGCGACGCAAGGCAAGAGTCTTAGCCCTAGTCAAAACCCCAAAAGAGGACTGCGAAACCTCCATGACTGCAACTTTGCCTAATGACTTGATTTTCCTCATGTACTTCCCCATTAATTCCACCTAATCGCAAGCTCTCATGAAAACAGAGGCAAAAACAGAGACACGCTGGGAACAACGGCCCCAAACCAGAAGGGATTGAAGGGAAAGTTGCAGAGCCCAGAATGGGAAAATGGAAGAAGAAGAACAAGAACAAGAGAGAGAAGGAAGTCTGGTTTAGAGAGAGAAAGAAGAGATTCAGGGGAAGGGGAAGAGAGGTATATGTAATGATAGCGCCTGGCTGAAGAAGGAAAAAGGTAGGGTTGGATGATTCCAGGTCCACTGTACTTCCAATTTCTCTTTATCTCCTTATTTTCTCCTTTAAATATCGCGATATTTTCATCATTTTTTTTAATTATTTGAATTTGCAATATATAATATATAAATTTTTAAATTACGCCAAAAAAAATAATAATAATGACGTCAATTCGTTTTTAATTTGTGTTTCCTTGATCGTAATAAAGGAAAGAATCCATAGGGAATATAAAATCATTACTCGATAGCAAGTCTACACAAATGTAGGCCACACCTTACCATGTCTTACCCGATGTGACACGTGCTAAGAAAGAGATATGATAATTTGAATCGGTTACTTTTTACCGGTCAATTATCTGTTGAATTATATTTATCTTGATAATTATTATATACGCGAGTCCAAATTAATAAAAACGCTTATATATATTAGGTTACGTTAACTCACCTAACTCGAGCTACCCAACTCAAACCATAAAAATATTGGGATGGGTTGGGATCATTGTGACCGGTAAATGTTTAATATTTGAATTTTAAGAAATTTTAGTTATTAATGATATATATATATATATATATATATATATATATAATCTCGTGATTTTGAAGAGATGAGAAAAAGAAGAGAGAGAAAGAGTTGAAAAATGGAGGCAAGTCATTGGATTCCTTTTGGGAGTGGCCAGGTGGAAAGTGTAATTTTTTCTTCCTTGGACCCTAAGCTTGAATATCCCCCACTCTCATCTCTTCGAAACTACATCCCACGCGCCACTTTCTTTTTTTTTTTGAAAAAATAAAAAAAGAAAATTTCCTGTCTGTACGATACGACGTGTCGACCAACCATTTCAAGACGTCGTCGTTTTCTGAAACTTAAAACCGCTTCTTTTGGCAGTTGATGGAATCGGAAAGTCATTTAATTTTCTGGTAGGAATCCTACGTCGCCTAAATTTACGGCTCCCATTTTTTCCCCCTTTTTATTTATTTTTAATCCATTGTTTTTTTCATGGAATAATAAATAATATAAAATGTACAACAAAATTTATTTGTTAATTTTAATATCAATTTTATTGTTGCTATCACGTGAAAGTCTCGTATGTTTTTCGTATTTTTGACCGGTCGATGTGAGATTTCAAATAAGAAACTGTATGTACGAAGCTCGTTGAGAGACATTCTTTCTAACGAAGATCTTAATGATTGAAAATGTCGGGACATTGTTAAAAGTTTGACCCTACCTACGAGTAAAAGATGTGTGGTTGACTTTTTGATCTTAGGTTTGACCAATTGTTAGACTTACGTTCTCTGTCCTTTTAAAAGCTTAACTCATTCCTATATTTGGCTTCCTTATTCCCAAGTAAAAGACGGTTACTTTGTTACAACTTCGTTCTAGTCACTAGTCATGTCTTATGCATCCCTCTCTCATGTCCAATGGGTAGACACTAGAGATGAGCGAAAAATGTCGTACCATGAAGTGACGATTTCGATTTTCAAAGTTTTAGATCGACGACTAAATTCCTTATCCTTTAAACCCTTAGAAAAAAAAATATAAACTTGTCGGGGCCAATTACTCTCCAGAGATTTTTATTTTTTATTTTTTTAATTTTGTATTTAATGGGTTCTTAAACTTTAACAATCTTAAATGAATTCAGAAACCAAAATAGGTCGCTAATATATTCAAAATAATAATTAAAAAAAATCTTAGTCGTAGAATTGAATATCGTGATT